GGTTCCAACACCAATGCCATCACAATAAAGAAGTCACAGCATCTCTTACACAACGTAAATATTGGCAAGGCAGGTCACGCCGTGGTTCTTTCAAGCTCCAGCCTCCCCTGGTCTGTTGCTCAGCCCTCAGCTGGCTTCACACCAGAATAACCCTGAGCTTCTTGGGCCAATGTGCTGACGATTATATATGGAAGATGTGTCAGAGATACCTCAGTGACCTCATTTTGAGTGGCAACTTAATTGATCCGTGACTTCTGCACCACAGTGCCACTCCAGCTATTTTTAGTGCTTATCGCTGGCAGCAACTGGCATGGACGAGGCATCAAATAAATACACCCAGCATAGAAACGCAGCGCTAACTCTGCATCTCCACCGCTTTCTGCAGGTATAAACCCACACAGATCGCTCCTGGTGAAAGCCCACTGACCTTTCTATGCTGGCTATGCCCTATCTGCACAGCCAGTTGGTGCTGAGGGAGTGCCCTCCCCAGGCTGGGATGCAGCCTGCTGGTTTGCTGCTTTCTTATCTCTCAGCAGAAACAAGGAACTGACAGCTCACCTCTGGCAGTGGAGCTGTGTCAGGCTCACACAGAGCTCACAGAGCCACTCTGTGCCACCACGCCAAGGGACATCAGCTGCTCACAGTGCCTGCATGCCTGCTCTGCAGGAAGGCATGCGTGTGGAGGTAGGGTGTGCTCGTACAAAACACAGATAGTGAATAATGCACTTCAAGAAGCAAACAAACACCAGGGAAGCGTTTTGCTCCACCCAGCTGTCACCTGTAGGGAGTTGCCATTGCTCCCAGCTCTTTGGTGTGGGGTCCCCTGGCCTCCATCTGGATGCAGGCTGCTCCCAACCCCTGCCCTGCAACCCCCACTGCCCTCTTCCTCATATCGCCCTGCGATTCACTGACGGTATTAACAGTAAACTGAGATATAAGGAAAAAGATCACCAGAAGCGTTTCATCACATCTACCCAATGCAGGGCGACCCCAAGTCCCAATTTGTTTCCTTGATCCGCAGGAAGTTTTTCCGTGTCATTTTCATTTAAAACCTAACCAAATCCCCAGGCAGTGTTCCACGAGTGCTGTGTGCTATCCTGAGATGGACACAGCTCTGTCTGTAACCAGATGCTCCTGGGAAGCTCCATACTCCATGTGACACCAAAAAGCACCATCTACATGGGATCGGCTGGGAGAACACAGAAGCAGAGGATCATGGATTTGGCCAAATGGTGTTGATGTAGCACTTTGTTCCCCATCTTTGCCCCTCGGGTCAGTTAAGCTGCTATATAAGGCAGACCAAGATGGTTTCATTCTGGTGCTGTGTAAAACAAAGCATGCTGGCTGGCACTGGGCTGCGTGCATTGAATCGGGGGTGAGGAAAGGGTTCCAGCCCTACAGATGCTTGGATATCACAGCTCTGCTGGGAGAGCACGACTGCAGGACAGGGCAGACGGGATGCAGTGTGGCTTCAAGGTGGGGAAGAGCAGGAGCATGGTGAGAGTCAGCCCTTATCTGCTTCCCCTCCGTGCCACCTGCTTCCTTCCAGAGATGCACTGTCACCCCCCGCCCTCTCCAGTACTCAGCAGCCTCTCCAGGCCAAGCACCACACATGGTAGTTCCTCCTCACCACCAGTGCCAGGTTCCAGTCTCTCCCCATGATGCCTGGTGACCTTGCAGGCTGTCCTGTAAACCTCCCCTCCCCTTCCCCACTCCTTCCCTTCACTGCCTGCCTCCCCTCTCCCTCTGCAAACTGCTCTCATTCACATCCTTTCTCATTCTCTTCCCTGCTCCCCTTCCACCCTTTCCCCATTAAACTCTGAAACTGCTTTGCACCGGATCACCTGGGCACATGGAATAGCTGCAGAGCCCACCCAATCCCCTGGGAAGCCCAGAGCCCCAGCAGTGAGCACCCAACCGACTGCGTGTGGCTCTGAGTGGCACTGGGCAGGGAGGGGTTAACACCAAGCGGGTGCAGGGTGCAGGCTCAGCCTGGCTACAAAAGCAAACACCAAAAAAAGCAGCTTCTCCTGTGCCTGCAACCTTGGGAGTACAGTGCTCGCTGCAAGCTCTTTCCATTTCTTATAAATGGCTCTCTTACAAAAAGGAAGTCTGGCTGGAGCACATGCAGGGCAAAATGTGAAAATTGTTGACGCTGTGCCCAGTGAGGTAATGCTCACAGGCGCTCTGATTCTCAGGCTGCAATAAATACATCCTGGGATGGGCTGCCTGCAGCTTCCTGGAATCCAAAATCTCTATCTCAGGACAAGAAATCAGTGCAGTTCTCCTTACTGATGACACAGCCAATTTTTCAGACCAAACCAACACGAGATTCTATGCTCAGGTTTGTGGGAGAAAAAGGAAATTCTGACAATTTCACCCATGCTTCCTGAATTTCCCCTCTCCCTGCTTTTCTCTGAACCTCACAGGAGATGGCTTTTCCACAAAATGTTTGCAGGGCAAAGCTCAGTTTGCAGTGGAGCAGATCCCATGTGCTACAGCTGTGCATTTGCCTAATGAGGGCCAGAGTTGCAGACCTCCCTGCCAGGGGTGGGCATAGGGCACCTGGGGGTCTTTCCTTGTAGAGCACTGATGCAAGCAGGGCTGGTAGCTGCAGAACATGGGAGCTGTACTATAGGGGCTGCCACCCCCTGCCCAGGTTGGGGGCTGCTGGCTGCCACCCTCTGTTCCCACCCCACACCTCGTCCTGCAGCTCTGCAGAAGGACTCATCACAAAGTGGAAGATGCACCGCGGGACCTGTAAGCATTTCACCCTCTGCTCTGCCTTGGGGAAGGAATGAATGGCAATGGTTTTATTTCCAAACCTCCATCCTCTCATATTGCAAAGAGGCTACCAAAGAAAAGAAACTCTTGCTGTTGCCTTGTAGGGCTCATCCAGTTGGCACAGTGCAAGCTGTGGGGCAGAGAAGTGAAGGTTGGGATGCATTGGGACTGTGCTCTGTGCTCAACTCCAGGGGAGGAAACTCCTGCAGAGTGGAAGCCCAGCACGACTGGCAGGCTGCTGAGGGGCATTGGGTTTGCACTGGGATCCTAAGGGAATAACAACAGTGAAGACTGAAAATAATACATGTCTAGCATCAGAGGTTCAGACATCTGAGCATTCTTCCTTATTTTTATGGTCAGTTACTTGTTAGCTGTTAACTTGATGCAGACTTTTCTGTCCAGTTGAGTCCAAAGGAGTGACCAGCAGCCTTACTTGATAACAGTGCATTTTTCATGGGTTGTGCAGAAAAGAGTCATCCCTGGAGATCCTGAAGTGTACAGCAGGGCTCAGCCCAGGCCTGCTGGTTACACCCCACTGTGCTGAGCCAGCCCAGCTCCAGTTGTGTGCCAGGAAGGGAAAGGCTGAGCTCAGTGTCCTGCCGAACCCCACAGAGCTCTACTGGGGGGCTCAGCAGCCGGGCTCATCTGCATGCTTCTCCCCACAGGAAAATGGGGGCATTCCTGAGCAGTGCCTGGAGGGATCTCCAGGGATCAGGGCACTGTGCAAGGAGCATCTGACCCACGCAGGTCTCTGCTCAGACAGCTTCACCTTCCAGCGTCGCGCAGGTGTGATTTCTTCTGAGACAGACATAACGATGTAGGTCGCTCTGAAAGTAATGCCTCCTGTCTATTGCCACGGAAAGTACAACAGATACAAAGAGCACAATAACACTATTTGATAGAGCAAATTCTCAGCTACAAAACACTGTTTTTCAGCATAGCCGCCACCATTCGCTATGCTTTTTCACCAGTGATGAATAAGAACCTGCACAGTGCGCTCATACAGATCTGCCCCAGCAGAGGTGCCTCACTATCACCACTGCTGCAATGCACTCCTGTGCTCTGTGCTCACATCCACTCTTTGGTCAGCGAATGTCAGTGGGTGGGAAGATTCAATCCCTACTGCCATACCACCGACGTCCTCCTCTGTCATTGCGGGCCAACAGAATAAAATAAGAAACATTAATTTTGGAGCAGCTCTCTGCATCTATCTACCCATCCATGTGTGTATTTGTATCTATAACAGCAATTACTCTGTAACCACTGAGATCAAGATCAAGATCAAGATCAAGGCATAAACTGCCCTTCTTTGGCCAAAGTCCGGGAGCAGCATGGCGGCCACAGGCAGCACGGTGTCACCCCCACCTCTCACAGGGTCCACAGAGGGCAAAGAACCCAGTGCCTGTTTGCCACCTGAGTCACCCGGGGGTGCGTGACATCCCCGATCTGCTGGTGGCCGTTCTCTCAGCACAGAACCGCTGACGGATGGGGCAGGAATGCAGAAGTCACCCTTTGGCACGCTGCACTTCAGGGCGCTCAGGGCAAGCGTGGGTGCCATCCGCAGCCCCAGCGCGACGCCAGCTGTCACACCCCAGGCGGCAGGCATCCAGCGGAGCTTTCCTCCGTGCATCCCCCGGCAAGACTATTATTCTATTAATTGTATTCTATTACCGTTACGTTATTAATTATGTTATTAATTATGTTATTAATCACTTTTTTTTTTTTTTTTTTTGGAGAAGAAACAACCCGCCCTTTGGCTCCCGGACGGGCCGCTGAGTGGCTCCGCTCCTCCCGCCCCACCGCCGCCCCCGCCGCCGAGTTTCGCTTCCCCGCGGGAGCGGCTCCGAGCGCTTCCGGGAATCGGCGGTACCGCGCGCCGCCGCGGGGGGGCGCTATAACACGCGGCGGGACCCGGCCGGGGGAATCCCAGGCGTGAGTCAGGGGCCGGGAGCGGCCGGACTGCGGGGCTGCGGGGCTGCCCTCCGCCCGCCGGGAAAACCCGCGCGGAGGGAAAAGCACCGGGGCAATGAGAGCGATGTGTGCGGCCCCGGGGCGCAGTGCCGCCGCCCCCGGAGCAATGCCTCACAAAAAGAACAACGAAAAACCCCAAACGCTGCGCCCTTTGGCTCGCGCGGCGCAGGATTTCGCCCGTGGATGCGCGGATGAGGAACGGGTTTTTATGGTTATCATCCACGCACGCTCTGCGTGCCGTATGTATTCATTACCTCGCACAGATCGTTTGTCTTGCGCATCTCTGCCGTTATTTATTATTTCACGGTGATAAACGGGCGGGTTTAGCAGAGCAGGGCCACCTCCGGGCCGTGAGCCGCACTTTGATGAGGCAAAACAAGCCGTTAATTCTGAATTGCTCCTCTGCAGGGCGCTCTCTCCGCATGTTGCCACTAGGGGGAGGGGGGTGTCTCACCCGTTCAAAATAAGTTCATAGCAGGCTGGTGCTAAGCTCCACAGGCAAGAGCTGGGCGCCTTCAGTCCATGCCACGAGAGCAGTGCCGCCCTGTGCAGCCTTCTTCGGCAGCTGGCACTGCTCTGCTGAATGTCTGGCTCCGGGTTGCACTGCTAAATACATCACAGGCACCACAGTGCCCACAGGGTACGTGCCACAGCTTTAATGTCAGTCAGTGAACGGTGCCCTGGGCACAAGCCATGATCTTCAGTCAGAGCCATGGCTGAGTGCATCAGAGACACAAGCGGGGATGCATCTGGAAGGTGAGACCAACATTCCCAGTCTGGTGTCATGCTGAAAACGCAGCCCAGGTGTTGCTGAGTCAGAGCTGGGCCCAGCCTGGTGCTGGGATGCTCCTGCCTGCCCACAACCAGCCACCACCCACAGGTTTCTGCTCTGACTGCTCCACTGCCCTCGCTTGGAAGATTTTGCACCTCAGCTTTTCTTGGCAAGGGTTTGTCTCCATGTTTTGTGGGGAGAAAGCAAACACCAGAGCTGCGCCTTGTTAGCTGTATTCTGTAAGCCCTGGCTGTGCATTGGGAAGGGCTGAGGGAGACCCCCATGCATAGAGAATAACAGGGCTTTTAAAATCCTGATTACATAGGCAGCTGCCTCGCTTACAGGAGAAATAATCACAGGAATAATAACAACGTGAAGAAATACACAGTTGCTCTCTGGAAATGAGTAATACATTGTTACCAGGGTCTATTAAAATGTAATAGTTACTGTAATTCAACTTCTAATAAGTAAAATAGCATTTATTTAGTGCTAGAAGAAGTGATTGGTTTGGAGGTATCTTAGCAGTATTTAAAGCACAGCTGGAATCATTCACATCTGATGCAGGTGGGTGAGGAGATGTGTTGGGGCAGCACGGCTGCAGCCTGGCTTCTGGGTGAAGCTGAGAGTTATTTTTAAACTGAAAAGTCCTTTTTTTGGTGATCCTGAAGTCATCCTGCTGGGCCCATTTAACTGGTGGGAGGTGGATGAATTTCTTTGTTGTAGGCAGTTTTATCACAGCCATCTCACTTCTCCTTCAGTGCTCGGTTATTCCTGGTTGTCTTCTCATGGTGTTGGGTTTTTTTTTGGTAAAACAGGAGACTGCTGAGGCCTTTTCTTCATCCTTTGACCCCTTCCAAAGTGCACACACTGCTCTCAGTGACAGCTGACCCAGGATTTTGGCAGTAAGTATCTGTATGTGTGTGCTGAGCTCTTGTTGTGTTGAAATGGCATCAGTAGGCACATGCTTGCTAGGACCAAATACACGTGTTCCCTAAGCATGTCCCTGTATTGCTGGGCTTTGGGCTGGCAGCCCCTCCTCCTAGCACAGCATCAGTGGGGCGAGGGATAACAAAATATAAAATAAGGGCTGGCTGTGTGAGGGTGTGGATGAGCAGTGCCTGCTCTGTGCTGGCGTAACACAAGGTGCAGTGAGAGCTCTGATTGTGATGAGGGCGAGAGGTGATGGGTTCACATTGTGCCCTGGGAAGTTCAAGTTGGATGTTTGTTAGATTTACCCAAGTGTGGAAATGGCTCAGAGGGGATTTGTGTGTGTGTGAGTGTTGGGGGGGAGGGGGAGAAAATAAAACGAGGGGAAAAGAAAGGCAGAGATGCATTTATTCCCTCTGTGAAAAGTGGTAGAAATACAAAATATTTATTTTCTCCAAAATACACATATCTAAAAAAAAATGCAATATAATTTAATTGTCACTATATGAACGAACTCAGAATGATCAAAGCATTCCCATCCTCAGCACCAGCTTCAGGAAACACGTGCTGTCTCAAAGAGGCCCATACCTGGCTCATTTGATCTTCAATAGCCCAATCTCCCCTGGTCTGCAAAAGCTGCAGGTGAAGGAGAACGCTGGGCCGTGTTTCTCAGTGCTTAGGAAAGGCTGTGACCAGGCTGCAAAGCACGAGCACGGCGTTCTCCTACTGCTTGCCAGTGGGGGGTGTATGAATATGCATAGCAGTGCTCCTGCAGGGCAGGGAAGGCAGAACTTTCCGTGAAGATGAATTTGCAGTTCATCCTCACCTGCCTTCAAAGCAGTGGCAAAGCCAATTCTGAACTTAAGAAAGTTTTGCTGGTATAATTACACTGATTAATCCCCTGTTATAATCTTGAGATTCTCCCAATACCAATTCCCTGAAGAAAATTAACTGTTCTAGCAACATCAGTTGTGTGTTGGTCTGTAAGTGGGTTCTTGCTCTTCTGAAAGTGCTATCAAGAGTAACACCCATGTGGGACCCAGGTCTGTTGAGGTTACGTGATACCAGCAAATGTTTCCAGCAGAAATTTGGCCTTAAACCTGAAAACACGTGGCTCCTGTGGTTAGAATTTGTGCTGTCCCCTCCACTGGGGGACCTGGTCTTACAGAAAGGCAAAGAAAACACCCATCCCACATCCCAGCGCACTGCTTGGACTCGTGGAGCAAGGGCTGATGTCTGAGCATCCATCTGTACCCACCCCTACTGTGGGTGTTTTGGTATCAGTGTCAGCTTTGCACGTGAAACCAGAAGGCTTTGGGATTAGCCCATATTTCCCCATACCCTGCTCTGTTTGCTTCACCAGCAGGCATTTGCAATTTCATCTACAGGTACGAATGGCTTTTTGTGGTCGATGCTTTGTGAGATTCCATTCTGAACGTGAGCCAGCACAGTGCTGCTGGGTGGAAGAGGTAACCTTTGCAATTTGAACATAAAGAATTAAAACAAGCACTCTTTTTTGCTGCTTGTTTAAGCCTACAGTGACTCTGGGAAGTTGTAATTACTCTTTTGCACCTCTTGATAATTTTCGGATGAATGTTCTCAGTTTTTCTATGAATCTCTTCACATTCTTTCTTTCTGTGTCACATTCTCCCTGAAAAGTTAGCAAAGAAAGTGTAATTACGCAGTGTTTGACCATCATGGTTTTTTCACCCTGAAATCATTTTATAAACAATGTTTTCCTTAAGATTTAAATAAGCCAAGTGTGGCAATGAATCATCATTTTAGAGATTAGAACCTCAGAATTGCAGAGCCAGGAGAATAATGCCAGGATTTCTTCTTCCATGTGCTGAACGAATCCATTTCCAAAAGCGAATCCCCCTTCTGCAGCCATAAGGGCACAGTTATGAACCATGGGCTGTGTTTCACAGATCTCTGATAGACAAGAGATGGATCCCTACCTCTCTTGCCAGCTTTGCTGCGAGAGATGGCCTCAGTTTGTCAAAACTTTGGAAAAAAGTGCTGAATCTCTTCATCTCAGGATTATTTTTCAACAGTTCGGTTCCTTCAAACAATGTTTTGATGCAGCTTTCGTCCTAGGATGGAGGAAATACCAAAACCGAGAAACAAATTCATCACTATGAACTGCAATTCGTTTGATAAACTCATTTTGATTGACATCCAGCTGGCTGGGTGACAAAAATGTGGTATTCCTGACTTCCAGACTCATGTTTGCAAATGACTTTAGGTGAGTGCATCCAACTGATGCTCATTTTTTCTTTGCTGCATGATAGCTTTTGTTTTGCCTGGATGGAGCACTGGATTCGTGCATAGCACAGCCCCTGCTCTTACTGCAGCCTGAAGAGCAGTTGGAGCTCTTACATCTGCTCTTCCAGCTGATCATTTCTTTTTCTGGCCCCAGGAGCTGCGAGTTTGGAACATGAGAGAAAGAGTTGAAATGAACCCAAAGCTCTCTTGTCTTTAACCCCGCCATATCTGCGTGCCCAGAGAGCAGTCAGCATGGCTGCATGGTGCTGCAGAGCTGGTCCTGCAGCCAGGGAGGTGCTGGGGTATGAGTGGAGCGTGGAGAGGCAATGGCTGCACCGTCTGGCATGGAGACATCAGTGAAACATGCAGGGGAGGAAAGGAGGAGGAGCAGGCGCTGCTGTCAGAAGCAGGAGCAGAGAGAAGTGTGGCAGGAGGAGAAAGTGAGGAAAATGAAGCAAAAATCAGCTCTGGGTGGAAGAAACCAATCCCCTGAGGTGTGGTCTCGTGCTGTGCACTCCCGGATACTCCATGGCCATGAGGACCTTGTGCCCTCACTGGGGAAGATGTGAGCTTCGGTCGTGTAGCAGAACAGAGAGAAGTGATGGAGCTGGGAGCTTTGCATCTGATTTGCAAGGTAATGGGTTGAGTTTATAAATGAAAAATGAGTTCTGTAGCTAGCTGACGTCAGGAATGTGAATTATTCTGCTCTTACAGTAAGTCAATTGCTTGGGTTGTGTTGTCACAAATACACATCTGGCGGTGATACACCTGAAGAACTCCCTGCTGGAATGTGGTTTCCCATTAGAACCACTTTTCCAATCGTAGAATGAAGTTCTTTTGTGGTGTTGGCTTGCAGGAAAAGTTGCCAGAGAGGGAACGTGGATCTTTCTGAGCTGCTGAGGAACTTCTGGAGATGCAAAAGGAGCCAGAAAATGTGTGGAGAGGGATTTGGTGCCCTGCTAAGACAAACCTCCTTCGCAGGACCCATCAGTGAGTGACTTGCTCTCGGGGCAGAAAGCACTGCTCAGATGCAATGCGATAATGCAGCTCTGCCTTCACACAGCCCTGAGATCCCTCGGCTGACAGCAAAAGCAGAAAAAGACATTTCTGAAAGTGGTTTGATGCAAGCAGAGCATTCATGCAGGCGGCAAGAAGGACAAGCAAAATGTACAAGTGAGTTCATTCTTCATCCCTTCCTAATGTCCCTTGTTTCAAGAGTTAAAGTAGAACATCGCTCTGTGTGCTCTGCAGAGGTTTTAGAAAACCACAGAAGGAGAATAGTTACGGCATTACTGCCCTTGGCCACTTCAGCATCACAGCATGTCTTTGCTTGACTCAAATTTGATTGTTTGAGATAATCTGTTGATAACGTTGAATAATGTATAATAGCTTAATTTTCAAACTATTTGTTCTTAGATACAGGTGGAGTAGATTAGGAGATCATTCAGAAAACTTTTGAGATAAATTTCCACTTACATCTGAAGAAACTGGAGTTTCAATCCTCAGATTCTGGAAAAAAAAAAAAAATTAAGCATTTCAAATATCACCATCATTAACATGAACAAAAAATAAGGTATGGCATAAAACGATGGCTTGGCTTTCAATAAAAGCTAAATGTTCAGAGAACTATTCAATATACCTGCATATCCAACCACTGAATAGAAGTAGAAAATGGAATTTACCAGCATGTCCACTGACTGGTAGATTTCTTGTAGCCATGTCTGTAGCTCAGCCAGGTTGCTTTGCAGAGGAGTGGCAAAGGCGCCCGCAGTGAGAAGCAAAAGATACAGATGGGTCCTCATGGTCCTGATGTGCTCAGAGAACCTGGGGGTGCTTCTGGAGCCTCTGTCATTGCATGGCCTCTCTACAGGGAAATAAATAGTTTGGGTTGATGTTAGGAAAAAAAAAAAAAAAAAAAAAGGCCATTTGTTGAAACTTTCTGGAAACTCTGTGATTAATTTTTGGGTATACTCCTTACCCAGTCAGCATTTCCATAGAAGTAGGTAATAAGGAGACAAGGATGTGGCCTCTTTCTACTAGAATCAGCAATGCTCAGGATGACCCAGAGTGTAGCCAGCCAGCTTTTATTCTCACTACACTTCTCTGGAAATGGGAGCCTGATAACTGCGTGTGATCATCTGATAGATGATGTGAAAGATGAAGCCTCAGAGCAAAAACAACTGCGGAGAACGCGTGGACTAATGTCTGGAAAGGAAACCATGTTTCTGTAATACCTCTGATAACATTTGATCAAATCTCAGATATTCCTTTAGAATGAAACAGCTTGCATCAGCAGGTGGTGATGGTGCACAGAGCAGGAAATGTGCCGATGTGGCACTTGAGGGCATGGTCAGAGGTCATGGTGGAGCCAGGCTCTGGCTCCTTTCCTCCATCATCTTTCCAATGAGGATGGTGACAGCTCTTAGTGCCATCCATGGGGTCTGGGGCAGATGGCAGTGATGTGGCAGAGCTGGCTGGAGTCCCCATGCTGTGAGCATGGGGCAGCCCCTGGGAGGGATGAGCAGTGAGATGGCAAAACATGCCCAGTGCTGGATAATGAGATGTGGAAATCTAAGAGGAGCCCGAGGGCAGAGTGATGGCATGTATAAGGAACTGTGCTGAGTCCTTCCCCACCCTGTCAGGAAGCGCGAGCAAGATGTGTGAGGAGATCATGGGGCTTCTTTGTTTTTAATCCATGTTCATAATGGGGCAGCTTTTTACTTCTATAACCTCACGCATGGATTATCAGCGCGCTTCCTCAGTGAGTGCTGTGTCAATGCATTTTCTCTGTGTGGTTCTCAGCATCCCGTCAGCGACTCAGAATTCAGTCCCAGATGAGCTGAGAAATTTTGTAAAAACTGCAATTGGCCCGAAGGGCATGAGATAAATCCTTGTCTTAGGTAGAACGCATTTCTGCAGTATTCTGTGGAAGTGAGAGCATTCTGGAAACGCCCCATACTGTGTCCAAGCAGCTTTTGAGAACAGCTCTAGCAGAGCTATAGGGGTGCGGTGTGTTCTGGGTGCCCTGCAGGGCTGCTGTGCACCTGGCACTTAGGGCTTCACCAAATGCACTGTAAACGTGTGAAGGATGGAACCAGATGGACTAACAAAGGATTTCACTTTCCCTGTTTAGGTGTGGAATCTCCAAAGTTAGACAAGACCTCTCAGATGCCCAAGTCCAACCCCAGCCCACCCCACCGTGCCCACTGACCGTGTCCCTCACAGCCACAGCTCCATGTTCTGGAGCACCTCCCCCATCCCCTGGGCATCCCTGTATGACTACTCTGTTGGAGAAGAGATGTTTCCTAATTTTTCCACACAAAGAGATGCACAGCAAGGAGAGCCGGGTTTTACCAGTCCCTGGAGTGGTGTGACAGGCATTGCTCTGGAAGAAAAGAGAAAATGCTGGCAGGGTGACCATTATTTGAAGCCTATTGTTACCCCTTGTGAGAGACAAAGCAGGGTCCCTGGGCTGGGGGAGACCTGCACAGCACCAGGAGCAGGCAAGAAGTGCAAGCAAAGAGGGATGCAGGGGATGGAAGGTGACAGAGGAAGCGGCTGCTTCTCAGATCCTTGTCAAAGTTGATGATATTGGCTGCTCTCTGTAGTGAGACCGCTGTCAGACTCAGCTCAAAGCAGAAAACTCTTTGGTGTCACAGGAAATGTGGGCAGCAGAAGAGTTAAGAAATAACCCAAACCGTGGCCCCACAGCTCCCTGAAGTGACCTTGCAGAAGAGCGGCAGCAAGATGGATCCTTTGGCTTTCCACATTTCCTCCTGCAGCTTTAACATCTCTTCTTGTTTCTAAAATCCTTTAGCTTCTTCTGCCAGCAAATGAATTTAGTGGGAGTCCGGAAATCCGCAATTATAATTCTTACAGCTCAAACAACTCAGATCCTTTGTCTCTGGTTCTTTGTTCTCTGTTTTCTGATTTTTATCATCCAAGTAGCATGCTGGGTTTCAGTTCCCACACTGTAAATCACACTCTTGCAGAAGCAGTCTGGCTCTGCATCCCCACCTCCAGCGAGAGCTCCCTGAGCCCAGGCTCTGCCAAGGTCACTTCTTGCATGTAGGCACCTTGAGGATGGGCACATATGGCCTTTACCAGTGCTGTGTAAAGGTGCTCCAGAATGGTGGAACATGGTCAGTGGGTGTGATGGGAATGGGTTGGGCCTGAGGATCTTGGAGGTCTTTTGCAACCGGAGTGATTCTGAGACTCTCTGTCTCCAGAAGAGCAAAATGAAG